ACCCGTTCCTTTCAATGTGATCTCTACTTAGAGCTTTTGTGAAGATATCAGCTATTTCCTTATTAGTAACATAAAATTCCACAATGATCAAACCCTTTTCATAGTTGTCCCTCAAAAGGTGATGCCTAACATCTATGTGCTTAGTTCTTTTATGGTGAACCGGGTTCTTGCTCTTACTAATTGCACTAGTGTTATCACAAAATATGGGGATACAACTTACATCAATTCCAAAGTTCATTAATTGCTGTTTGATCCATAACAATTGAGCACAACATGAGACAACATCCACATACTCAACTTCAACAGTAGACAAGGCCACATAATTTTGCTTTTTGGTGGCCCAAGACACAAGACATGAGCCAAGAAAGTGTGCCATACCTGCGGTGCTCTTTCTATCCACAAAAAACTGCATAGTCAATATCAACATATCCCACTAAGTTGAAATTACTACCTTTTGGATACCATAGACTGAGGTCAGTGGTGCCTTTTTGTCACGACCCGGAATTCACTGTCGAGACCATGATGGCGCCTAACATTTTGCTTGCTAGGCAAGCCAATGTTAGAACAGTTTATCCAGTTTTAACAGTTTTAATTAAATAATGAGAAAGAACTGGATTAACTGAAATAATCCAGAAGCTAAAACAACCAAACGTCTGATATAACCCTAGACCTAGTGTCACAAGTGCATAGATACTAGAATAGTACAAACAAGGGTTTGAAATAACATAAAGTTGCCTGAAAAGAAGGTACACAACTAAATAAAAAGGTAAGGGGACTCTAGGAGCTGCGGGCGCTGAGCAGCTGTACCTCAAGTCTCCGCAAGCTGTCCAATCCGAGCTCGCTAATAACCGCCGCTGGGACCGACTCCAAAATTTGCACAAGAAGTGCAGAGTGTAGTATGAGTACAACTGACCCCATGTACTCTGTAAGTGCCGAGCCTAACCTCGACGAAGTAGTGACGAGGCTAAGGTAGGTCACCTACACTACAACCTGTACGCAGTATATAATAAAGACAGAAAAGGAAATATGGAACGAGATAATAAAGTCAACTGAAAATAATAGCTACAGCCTCAAGAAATAAGCCGGTGGCTGTTAGAATTACCAATCCTTAGATTTTTAAGTGAGAATACCAAAAAACAACACAACTTAAGGAAATAGAAACACATAGGTAGTTGCGGCGCGCAGCCCGATCCCACCGTACGTCACACAATCCTCCCTTATTTCACCGTAACAACATCAGCAATAATATATAATATATAAATGTTGCGGCAAGCAACCCAATCCCACCATATATCAATATCAGTATCATAATTCACCATTATTTCACCGTATCAATCCACCTTTATTCCACCTATTGCGGCGTGCAACCCGATCCCATTATATCAGTACAAATTCACCCTTATTTCACCATATTAATCCACCCTTATTTCACCTGTTGTGGCTTGCAACCCGATCTTACCATATCAGAACCAAATACTCAATGTGCATAGCCAAATCAATAATTCATATCACAAGAGCCCTTACGATCAATGAATACCAAGCTGAACCAAAAAGGGAACCTTGTACAACATGGGAATTCACATAAGTAATACACAACAAGTCAAGTCCAGCAAAATGATAATTAAAAGGTGCAAGTAAGTCAGTTAAGGCAACTATCAGTGAATCATGAAAATATGAAAGTATCTAACACTATTAACAGAAGAAAACACTGATAAACAGGTAGTAAATAAGCATGGAAGGCATTTAGAGCATATAACATTCAAGACAGGGAATGAGATAATTAAGGAAAAGCGGAAAATCAGGGAAAACAAGTAATTCGGCGGCGTATAAGCACTCGTCGCCTCGTATATACGCTGCAACACATAAAATTAACATAGCACATAGTCTGAGGGTTCCTAATTCTCTTAATTCAAGGTTAAACTCAACACTTACCTCACTCCGTAGTCAATTCAGAGCTCTACCGAGGCCTTTCCCCAAGAATCCGATTCCAAACTAGTCATATCTAGCCACAATTGACTTAATAATATCAAATATTGCTAAAGAAATCATTTACAATGCATAAATTTAGGATTTCCAAACTTTCCTCCAAAAAGTCAAAAATGGACCCCGGGCCCACTAGGTCAAAACCCGAGGTTCAGACCAAAATCCATTTACTCATTCACCCCCGAGCCCGATTATGTAATTAGTTTCGAGATTCGACCTCAATTTGAGGTCTAAATTCCAATTTTACAAAAACCCCTAATTCTTCCTAAATCCCTAGTTTTCTACCATGGAAGAACAAAGATTAGGGCTAAGAATTAATGGGTGATGTTAGGAATGGAAGAAAATAACTTAAAGTGTACAAACCTATGAATTGATGTTGAAGTTTTTCTTCAAAATCGCTCCTAGGCCGAGCTCTAATGGAAGGGTTATGAAAAATGGGAGAAATTCCGTTTTTGAAATAATTTAAGGTCTCGGCGTCAGGCTTTCTTCGTATTCGTGAAGGGCCTTCCGCGTTCACGAGTCCTTCTTTGCGTTCATGAAGGCTGCTCCCCCTGGCCTTCGCATTCGCGTAGAAGAACGATGATCCCCCTTCCTAGGTCCATAAGCTACGCGTTCGCGAAGGGTAAGGCCCCAATTGCTCTGCTTTCACAACCCAGCCATCGCGTTCACGATGAATAAAATCCACCCAGCCTAGATCACTCTTCGCATTCGCGTGAGTCCCTTCGCGAACGCGAAGAAGGGAACACCAGAAACCAACAGAAGTGGAAAACTAGCAATTTTTCTAAGTTTAAACCATCCGTAGCCTATTCGAAAGTCCAAAAACCTCATACGAACTCGTTCGCAGGATCAAAACATCAAAATAATGTCTAGAACTACGAATCAGACACCAAATCAAATGAAATTTTCAAGAAAACTTTAAAACTTCTATTTTAACAACCGAACGTCCGAATCACGTCAAACCAACTCCGTTTCTTACAAAATTTGACGGACAAGCCATAAATATAGTAATGGACCTTTACCGGGCTCCAGAACCAAAATACAGACCCAGTATCAACAAAATAAAAAGTCGGTCAATTCTTAAAAATCATTAAACCTTTAAACTTTTTATTTTTGACAAAAATCAATAACTCGAGCTAGGGACCTCCGAATTAGATTCCGAGCATACTCACAGGTCTCAAATCATGATACGGATCCACCGAGACCGTCAAAATATGGATCTGGGTCTGTTTGCTCAAAATGTTGATTGAAGTCAACTCAAATGGATTTTAAGGCAACAATTCTTATTTTTATTAGTTTTTAACCTAAAAGCCTTTCAAAAAAACGCCCAGACTACACCCGGAAATTGAGGAAGGCATAAATAAGATATTGGAGGCTTTAAAACACAGAATTAGGTTCTAAAACTCTAGATGACCTATCGGGTCATCACACTTTTAGGTATCTCAAGGTCCTCTTGATAGCAGTCAAGTGAGACTCCTTTAGATTTGCTTGAAATTTAGTACAAAGACCTACACTAAAAACAATATCAGGTCTACTGGCAGTGAGATATAACAAAGAGCCAATCATTCCGCTATAAGAGTGTCTATTTCTTTGGAACTTCCATTTTAAACCTTTTGAGCAACTTTTTCACATACTTCTGCTGATGGATCATAGTTTTATTTGAATTTTATTTAATCTGTAAGCCTAAAAAAAATTAAGTTCACCGATCATACTCATTTCAAATTCACTCCCCATTAGTTTAGCAAATTCTTTAATTAAGCTATCTGTAGTTGCTCCAAAGATTATATCATCAATATATATCTGAACTACCAAGAGATCTTTACCTTTTTCTTTTAATAACAAAGTATTGTCAATTTTACCTCTCTTGTAGCATGCTCAAGAAAGAATTAAACAATCTTTCATACCATGCTCTTGGAGCCTACCTGAGCCCATAAAGTGCCTTATCAAGCAGAAAGTTACTTGACAAACACTTCTTCCTTTAGATAGCCATTGAGGAAGACACTCTTGACATCCATATGATAGAGAGTGAATTCTGTGTAAGCAACAAAGGCTATAAGAAGTATAATTGCTTCCAATATTGCAACTGGAGCAAAAGTATCATCATAGTCTATGCCCTCTTCTTGACTATATCCCTGAGTCACCAATCTTGCTTTATTTCTTGTAATTGTTCCATCTTTATCAAGTTTATTTCTTAAGACCTATTTTGTGCCAATTACTAATCTGTCCTTGGGTCTTGGTATCGGATGCCAAACTTGGCTTCTCTTAAATTGATTGAGTTCATCTTGCATTGCATTCACCCAACCTGCATCCTACAAAGGCTCAGTAATATTTTTAGGTTCAATAAGAGATAAAAAAGTATCAAAAGCAAAATGATTCTTCAAAGAAGATCTGGTTTTGATTCCAGAGGTTGGTGTAAGCACGTGATTTTTGCCCTATATGAGAATTACTCCCAAAAAATTCAAAAATAAAATAATTTTTCTTGGTGTGCAATTTTGTGATATTTTGAATAATTATTTGTATTTGTCTGTGCGTGTTTATTTGTTAAAATTATTAAAAATACAAAAATATGTCGCATTTTGCATGTAAGATTTAATTCTACAATTGTTAGTAATTAAATTTGTTTTACAAAAAATAAAAATTACGAAAAAATAGGCATCGTTAGCATTTTTAGCATTTAATGTCCAAATATACAATTTTATGCTTAATTAATACTTAATTGTGCGTTAATTGTTATTGGGAGTTAATTTGCGCTTTTATAACTTAATTTAGTTCTTAATAATAGTTTAAGTATTTTTATAATTTAGTTTTAGAAAAATAAAAGAAGAAAAGAGAGCAAAAAATAAAGAAAGTCGGAATTGGGCCTCTTCTTCAAATTCAAGCCACAGGCCCAAAAAATGGCCCAACCTTCCCTATGACCCAGTCCATTCTGAACTGGGTCGAACCGGTCCATAACCCAACATCCTATTGTCTTACATTTTACAAAAAACAAAACAAAAAAGAAGAAGAAGAAGACCCTAAAACTAAGAGATCCGCCCCCCTCTTTCTTTCTTCTTCTTCCTCAAAGCTTTAAGCAAGCAACCATGGCAGCTACCCTTTCCCCCTCTGCCTCACCTTCGCACACACACACAACCCCTCGTCGGACCACCCAAATCGACCCCCGTCCGCCATTAAAACCAAACGACCACCTTCAAACTTCGACATCCATGGTTGTCCCCCCTCTTTGTTTCTTCGTTGTCTTCTTCACCACGTCCAGTCATGGACGACCTCAAACAGCCCCAAGCAGTCATGAACGAGCAGCCATGACTCCCAGCAGCTACACCATCTTCGTCGCGTCCAAACAACCATCGTCGCAGCTGTTTCTGCNTCCACTGCTGCTACTGTTTCTTCTCCTCCGAGCTGCTGTTCCTCCGCCATGGTTGTCACTGCTACTGCTTCAACTTTCTTCTTCTGCTGCTCGCGTTTCATGGACAGCTGCGGGCTGCTTCATCTTCTCTTCGTCTTCGTCGTCATTTGTTCGAGCTTTGGTCGAGGCTCG